TCCCTATAGCTATCTCCAGATCTATAAACTCCAGCTCCTTTGGTTAGTCCAGCACAGGGGTCAGCAACATTTTTGGAAAGTGCCAAAAACACCCGCAACCTCGACTTGTAAGGTGTCAGCTTGCCAGGGGCAGACAGCAGAGGAGGCACGAGGGGCCTGATCCCCGAACACAGCCCCCACCCCTTCCCCGCTGTGCATCCCAAGGCACAGAATGCCTTTGCGTGCTATGCTCTGGCACCCATGCTGGGGGTTGCCTATCCCTGGCATACCTGCCTTCCACTTTAGTCCGAACAGGTATCCGTTGCAGTGGCCTGACACTCTGAATGCAAGTCAATCTGATGCTGTTACCATCAGCGGGCCTTTTTTTGGGTGCAATCAATCCATTTCAAATGACACCTCAGCGCAAACAGATACTGCTCTGTTTCCATGTCACAATGTGAATCTGGGGAAAAGCTTCCCTGCAAAGAAACATTCCCATGGCAAAGAAATAGGCCTCTCATAATCAGAAGTTTGCCTTGCAAACAAAATAATCTGCAGACAGGCATAAGGCCAACACCTATCTATGGCCCTGAGTGGAAAACTGCAGTCCAAACAGCAACCTAGGGCAGAGGGAAGGGGATCAGAGTGGAAAGAACCGGGATTGTGAACAGACATTGGTGCAGTCCTATTGCAACTGGCAGAGATTTTTCAGTGCAAAAATATATACCTACTAGCCAACTGCCCGTCAAGAATGACGGAGGAGTGGGGTGCAGGCGAGGACAGAGGCCTAGGCCTGTGCCTGGCCCCCTCTGCCCCCATCTTCAGGGCCAGGCACACTCCCCCTTCCCACCCCACTCTGCCGTGGGGCTGGGCCCGCTTCTCCGCCTAGCCTGTATCCGCCTGCCTCCCATCCCCCTGAATAACATAGGGGGGACACGGGCAGAAAGCCACCACCCAGCACCCCGTGCCGCAGCCACATCCAGGGAGCAGGGGGTAAGGCCAGCACTGCTGACCTCATTCCTGGCTCTGTCCACTCCGTTGCCACTGCCTCCTGGGAGCAGGGCAGGGGGGGGAGCTATGCTGGGCTCGCCCCCCTGCTCCTTCCCTTCTGTCATCGTCGCCCACCCTCCCGTCATGGCAGTGTCCAGGCCTGCTCTTCCCCCATGCCCCAGCAGGCCCAGGCCCATTCCCCACCTCCCTCATGCTGCCGCTGCAGGTCCAAACCTATTTCCCACCCCTTTGTGCCACCGGCCTCTGCCTCCTCCATGCAGCTGGCCTCGGCCCCCTACCCCATCCCCTCTTTCTCTGCTG